ATCTTCGTTCCCGTCTGCTCTGCTGTGGTGGTCCTCAGCTCCACCTGTACTGCCGGCTCCACCCTGGCTCCCTGCTCCGCCGGCTCTGCCTCAGTCCCTGGTCTCTCCTATCCTTGGACTTGGCCCTCCGTCCCTCCCCCTGTTCCGCCTCCGCTCCACCGCCCACCTGGATCGTATAGTGTTTGGAGCGTCTGGAAGCCGCTCCTTGGGGGGGGGGGGGCTCTGTCAAGAATCCTGTCCATGGACTTACGTTCATTCACCCTTTCCATTACATTGACTCTCGCACAACACAAACTGTTGCATAGCACCCCGGACTACATATCCCATCATTCATTGCACTGATTGCACACAGCTATTTCATATCACTCTATAACACCCACTCAAACAACCATTCTCCGCTGAGTATTGTTTAGCCTGTACCCAGTTCCGAGTCTCTGTTTCCTTGTTTTGCCTTGCCTTGCCTGTTCTCTCGGTTTCTGATCTTTGCCTGTTTTCCTGGATTTTTCCCTCTCGTCTCGCCCCTGTGATTCTGTCTGCCGATCAGTGACCTACGCTAGCCCTAGGACTATTCTTGTGTTTTGCCCGCCATATACCTGTTTGCCATTGATCGACCCTGCCAGTGTTTGACCACTTCTCTTGTTAAATAAAGCTTGCACATGGATCCGCACGCCTCTCGTCTCGTCAGCCCCGTGACACCTACAATGTAGCCATCTCAGCATTCCATTTTTAAATGGAACTTTTCTCTCAGCAGTTTCTTCTTGTTTTCCATATTTTATAACCATTGTAATGAAATAGCCTAATTCACCTAAATATAAAATGCCAAATTACTTTACTTTACTCCCTCATATAATTTTTTTCTTTTTTGTTTCTTTAATAATCTCATAACATCATTACTGCCTCCCAAAATAGATTTAGAAATAGAAAAGACCTTAAGGGTCTTCAGAAGCAATCCATAAACTAATCTGTGGTTGGTTTTCAAAAGTTAAGAGTAGTTTTAAAATGCTTGAGCACAATGGAAAACATTTAGGTTTGATGTGTCACTGGCATGGGCAATGGCATGGACAAATGGCAGTTGTCAATCTTCTGTCACATAAAATCTAATGCTTAGATACACATACTAGCAGAACAATAACATTAGGTATTTAGTAATAAGGTACTGTCACATTGCCATACCCTAGCTTCCACCCAGTGAAAGATGTGATCTACAAAACAACAGCACATAAATGGCACCATGTGTTCATACAGGAACACTGTAAAATATGCCAGTGTTTAACACTAAAAAATGAAATGGATTTATTTTTTCCCAGATAGCACACATACTGTACATCTGCAAGATGTTTGTTAACAACATCTTCGTTAAAACATCTGATAAATATCTTTAAGATGTCAGCTTTACATACATTCTGAATAATCATAAACATCTTAAAAACCTTTTTTTGATAGCGCACATACATCTCAGAGGTGTCTCTGTGTGATTACATCTGGGAGATGTATTTTTTTAGAGTTTTTGCTCATCTGCAATACATCTCTAGGACATTTCCTGTTTAGAACATGTCTTTAAGATGTTTATGAATTATAATGTATGTAAAACTGACATCTTAAAGATGTTTATCGGTTCGTACACTGCTTTCCAGATGAAGTGCTTTTTAATAGACATCTTGCAGACATATGTGTTCTATCTGGGTTTTTTTCCCCCAGATAGCACACATACGTCTGCAAGATGTCACATGCTTATCAAACAGAAATCTCTGAAATGTATGTGAGCTATCAGGGTAACCATCCAGCAGGTAGCTCTGCATGCTCATCATGTTTATCTCCATACTCGTGTTTGTTTTGAAATCAATAGCCTCAAGCTTCTTTTACCAAGACGACTTCCTTGAGCATGTCGGAAAAACTTATAATTGATCTACTGTATAATTAGTATTACAGATGTCAGATTGTTTTAAAATGTTATTTTTATGAATTGCTCTTTGACAATCATTAATGGAATCATTAGTACATACATGATAATTTAGAGTCATTTAGAGTATTTGTGTACAGAATGTGCTGTACTATAAAGACAGTCAAATTTCAAATTTGTTTACCAGCCCCTGACAATAGCTGCTAACCTGTATGATGGCAGTAGAAAGCTCACATCCTTTTATCAATCCGCAGCATGTGAGCGAGACGAGAACACAAACAACACTTTTAATGCTATTTTATCTCATTTTTAAACATAAGAAATTAAAGCTTTATGGTGATTACGGGGCAGGATGGATAATTTTAGGGAACCTGTGAAAACAGACTGTGAAGAACTACTATTTCGTTTTCAAGCGACCAAGCAGTTTCTAGAGAGCTGGAGAGACATGGACTTCAGCAGCATCTTCCAGTGAGTTTGACATCGATTCCAGTGACAATTTTTAAAATTACCTTTTTAAATAAGATTAGAATCATCATATAAGAGAAAATGATAAAATACATGTGTTACTGTGGGAGGCAATCATGCATCTTCTGCAGCAAAACTCATATTTATATATATATATATATATATATATATATATATATATATATATATATATATATATA